ACACACATACATACACACACACACACACAGAGAGAGAGAGAGAGAGAGAGAGAGAGAGAGAGAGAGAGATAGAGAGAGAGAGAAAGAGAGAGAGCAAAAGAAATAGAAAGAGAGACAGGGCGAGAGATGGTGGGAGGTGATGGTAGGAGGAAGGGTAATCCTTCTGCTGATGTGTGTTACGAGGTCCACCCGCCCGCGCACTCATCATCACCGAGATAATGGAGTGGGCGGTTCGCGGAGGAGAGATGCTGGATGGTTCGGGGCCCAGTCCACCGAGGCTCGCAACAAAAACCGCCACTCAACAACCCTGCCCCGAGTTGCACGACCATAAAATCATCCTAGTTCTCTGCCACCCCGCCTGCCCGCCCGCGCCCCGCTCGACGATGCTCGCGCACTCGTTCGCCTCCCTCGTGCCTGCTCCACCCGCGAACGAACGTAACGAACGACGCGAACGAGCGAGCGAGCGAGCGACGCGCGGCCAACGATCGCAACCTGCTTGCCGCGCGTTCCGAAAGCTCGCAAATCTACCGCACCGACGACGTCGTGCGAACGACGACCCGGCAAATGACGGCCAGCGTAATCGACCGGCCGGATTTTGCGACCGCCCCTAATGTCCTTCTTGCGCATCGCGGAGGAACGCGATCGAGCGATGCCACCGGAGAATTGACGTGAATCAGAATGACGGAGGATCGGAGGTGCTAGTAGCGACAGTTAATTTTGCTGACGTTTCTTCTTCTCATGTTCTTAGTGGTTGGTGCAAAGTAGCAATATTTTACTGGCTGCGTCTATGAAATTCCAGAATTCTGTAGAATTTAAGTGCAGCTTATAAATTGTGAATTAAGTCTAGAGAGGCGACTATAATAATGGGAAACCACCCCTTCTAGGTCATAAGTCAAATCAGATATATCCTATAATTAGAATAGATACAATTATTTAATCCTGATAAATAAGCGCATTAAATTGTTCAATGCGACGATAACCTCGTTAGCGTGTGGTCAATAGCTGCAGAAATAATTACGAAACTAATTCGATTAAAGTAATACAACCAAACGCGAACACACTTTATATACTTCGAGATCAGGGCGTCTAGAATGTATCAGGCTAAATCACATTCATGACAAATGACGAGTTCGCGACGAATCGCGACGTGTCACCTGCCGACTCAACTTCGTGTGAACCTGACTGCACCGATCTCCAAGTAGATGAAACTTTGTTCACGTTCACGTGGGACGTAAGTCGTCTATATTCATCGGCGACAAGCGACGCCTGACACTGTCCCCGCCTCAAGATTCGCGGATGTTCATTGGCTCGAAAATTTTAATAACCCGAGCGACGATAGGCCAGAGGAGTACGCATGTCCAAGCGTGTGTCACCAGCACGACACACTCGTGGTGACACATTCGCTCTCTCCCTCGTTTTGTCCCTCCGGCTCAATACCCTCTCTCCCTCAACTCGATATCCGTGTCTCTTGATAGGGAGGACCCGGCTCGAATCTTGCTGCGCATGCCCTGTCCGCTTTCAAGAAGCTTAAAGGTACCCTCCACCCTCTCCAGGCTGCACCCTCCGACCGAAGTGCACTCTGGAGAACGTCCAAGGTTATCGAACGAGCTCCCATAGAGATAAATGACTTCTGCTAATGTTAGACGTTCGGCCAAGCCTTGAACGCCGAAGTTGTTAACGCAACAAAAACGTTTTAGATCTTGTCGAGATGGACTGTCGTACTCTT